CGATTTGGGCTGTACTCAGCAAGCGCAGTACAGCCCCCAACTCAGATTTGATAAAGAATCAGTGGATGGCTGTTTTCCGACTGGTCGACAGACCGCTGACCTAACCCCTACTGGTCGGCTGCAAAACGGTCGGCGGTCGCGGTCGGCATGTATGCAACCGTGCTTTTTTTCTAATAAAGAAACTGAACTAACCCCTACCATTGTTGTACCAATGCGATGCCATCCGGATTTGAATTTAGAACCCGTTATTTGTTTCTTGAGAGGTCCATGGGTGTACCATTCAGCCACTTGGGCTGGCGTATGTTGCCTGCCAATAGGATTTGCCTGAAATGCAATTCTTTTAAACAGTAAGGACTCCGGAGGGAGGGGGGCAGTGGTGCTAAGCCAGTGAAGGTGTGCAATCTGTCTCATGATTTCCTGATGGCACAAAAAGTGTTTCCCAATTGTTTAGTTGAGGAAATGGTGTGGCTGATGTTGCTGAAAGCCAATGGTAATAGAATCGAAATTATCGAACAGATATTAGAGAGAACTTTTTAAAGGGCAACAGCATTGAGATATCGTCGTCGTCGTTGAACAGACTGGCCCCAAGGTAATTCAGAATTATTTGATCAATTTTTATGTTATCCATCTGGATTCGAACTTCAGTCTGTATGACAACAATTAATGGGTGTCCCAACTCAGCTAGGCTCGGTGGAATTTTCAATATATTTTTTATATTGTATGATAGTAATACGTATATCTATAATACCAATAATAAACATACTAAAAAGTAGTAAAAACAGTATTCCAAATTCAATAACAAAAATACTTTAATTTTTATAGACATTGGAATCATTGGATGGATATTCGTTTTGTTTTGTTTTTCGAATTTTTTTCCCCATTTTGGGCCTTTTCTCCAGTCTGTTGATAACTTGATGACCTTCTAATCCTCATTTGGAACGAGCAGAACAAGCCTTTCCTTTCTTGTTTTTTTTCCGTTTTATTTTTCATGATGCTCAGGCGGGTGTGCCCGCGGCACAAACCTTGGGCACCATGTGCGTTCTAGGTATCGATGGCTCACGGATTTCTGCAATTTACATTGAGTATCACATTTTGCTGCGCTCTTCATCGTTGCGAGGGGCAAGATATTCGTTTGCTGAGAGTTTTGCTCAGCAAAATTTCAAGCGCTCACACGGCCCGCCGCAGAGGTTGCCTCTCAAGACTACAATTCAGGGAGCAGCAAAGTCCCCGGATTTTCAGTCTGGGCTGTTTCCTGTTCACTCGCCGCTACCAAGGGAAGCCTCGTTGCTTTCCCTTCCTCCGCTTAGTTATATGCTTAAATTGGGCGGGTGCTCCAGTCTGCCCTGAGAGCAGAAAATTTGGACCATTTATTTTTTTCTTTTTTTTTGGACCATTTCTCGATTTATGCGCATCATCCTTGCACAGGGGCCATGCTAATCTTCTCTGTATCGTTCCAATTTTAACCTATGTCCCGAAGGACAATTTGGACCATTTCTCGATTTATTCGTGTTTGAAATTTTGGCCATGGGGAACAGAACTCCTTGGTGGCCAGAACACACACAAATCTCTCAGATTCTCTCCTGTGGATAAAGAGTGAGGTTTTTCAGTTTTCTTCTTCATTTCCCCCTCCTCCCCCTCCTCCCCCTCCTCTTCTTCCTCCTCCACCTCCACCACCTCCTCCTCCTCCTCCTCCTCCTCCTCCTCC